GATAACTACTGTGAGATCAGGAGCCAAGAGCCCACCTGAACTGAACCTCAGAAAACAAGGGAAAGCCTACTTACCATTTTCAATCACTGTTCCCAGATAAGTTGTCACACAGAAGTGTGTAACTAATATACCTGTCCAAATTCACAGATTGTGTGTGTAAAAATAAATGCAAAATGTAAAACTTCTAGTTTGTCCCCATAGTGATTTTTTATTATGTATGTAATTATGTAAATCTATGGTTACAATTTAATGAATATTGAATATAGTTATAAAAAAGAAATTGATTTCCAGCAACAATATAATTCTTACTCTTATTAAAATATAAATTTTAGAGATTTATTTTTCCTTTAGTTGTGTGAGTAATTTAAATTATATATACTACTTGTGTGCTTACTGCCTGGAGAGTCTTGAAGAGACTCAGATTTAAAATTAAATCTATAATTAAATTCTGTAAATTTAAATTTAACATATAATATTTAGATAATTATTTTTATTTTAGGTGTGTGAGTAATTTAATTTATGTGTACTACTTGTGTGTTTACTGCTTGGAGAGTCTTGAAGGACATCAAGTTTCTTGGAACTGGAGTTAGGTTGTTATTAGACACCACATGGATGTTAGGAATTGAACACAGGTCCTCTGCAAGAGCAGCAAATACTCATAAGTTTGGAGCCAACTCTCTAGCTCCTAAAGTTCATGTTTTTTAAATGGTAAATGTGGTGGAAGATGTGATTAAATGCAGTCATCCTTTAGATTGGAAACAGTTCCAATGTCTCTCAATAGAAAAATAAACTATAGAAAGCCAAAGAAAGTCATCCTACAAAATCCTGTACGATTTGAAAAAGGTTTTTTAAAACTGATTGTTACTTGAAGCTAAAGCCCCAAACCCCAAATAATTCTAATTATGTAAAACAGTCACACAAAACCAAGCTACTGTAAAACATGGAAAGGCCTGGAAGACGGTGAAGGACAGCCGGCACAGAGGGTAAATAAACACAGGACTCCTTTTGCTTTCTCTTTCATTGGTTCTGTGTTTTCTCTTTTTCTTTTTATGCAATGAGAATTTATGCATGCATTTTTTTGTGCTCCTACAAAAAGATGACCTTGATTTTTTGGAATAATTTAAAGTAGAATTTATCTAGCTGTGGGGTTGGTACCACAATGGCGGTACAAAGAAAATTAGTCAGCCAGACTAGCTGGAACTTGCACTGATACAGTCTTTGGGTCTGGGAGGTGACTTGCTGAAATCTTTAGACTGTGTGTGTGTGTGTGTGTGTGTGTGTGTGTGTGTGTGTACGCGCACGCGCGCGCGTGCAAATACCACAGAGATCAAAAAAGGGTTTCAGATCCCCTGGAACTAGAGTTCTGTATGATTGTGTACTACCTAATGTAGATCGTAGGAAGTGAATTAGGGTCCCTTGGAAGATCAGCAAGTGCTCATAACTGCTCAGTTATCTCTCCAGTACCTGAAATTGGTGGCTTAACAAGAATAATTCAGGGCCCATGAGATGGCTCACGAGGTAAAATACTTGCTGAACAAGTGTGTAAACCAGAGCTCAATACTCAAAACCCACTTAAAGGTGGAAGGAGAGAAGTGAATCCACTTGATTATTCTCTGACCTTGAAATACTCTCACACACCACCACCACCACCACCATTACCACCATTTCCACCACCACCACCATTAAAAAAAAAAATCAAAGACAGAAAGAGAGAAGAACTTGGAAAAAGAGAGAGAGAGAGAGAGAGAGAGAGAGAGAGAGAGAGAGAGAGAGAGAGAGAGAGAGAGCGCAAGATAAGATGGAGGGCTTTGGGCACAAGAAAGTCTTCCTGGGTCAAGCAGAAATTCAGCCCCAGGCAGGAACAAGGGTCGAACTACGACCTGTGGTCATTGGTCAGCTGTGTAAATGCAAAGGTTACCAGCCAGGGTCAAAGCTTCAGTTCTTGGAGAGATAATTGCTTAGAGAGGCAATGATATTAAAAATGGCTGACTCTTACACAGCACATCAAAGCTTCACTTCTTGGTGAGGTAATTGCTTAGAGAGGCAATGATATCAAGAATGGCTGACTCTTATACAGCACATTCATCATTTAAACCCTGTGAGGACTGTGTGTGCTCTTATTTCATTTTTTAGGTGAGAGAAGCAAGGATCTGAGTTTAGCACTCCATAGCAGCTCATATAGCTGGGAAAGGCAGACTCCTGATCTGGAGGGAGGCTGCTGCAATGCACTTTAAATATTCTGCTCTCTTGCTGGGAATGCTTTGGGAAGTCTAAAACAGTGTAACTGTTGCATGGAGGGGTCACTGGTTTGTCCCGGCTGCCCGGCTAGCTTACACCCAAAATAACCACATAGAAACTGTATTAATTAAAACACTGTTTGGCCATTAGCTCTAACTTCTTCTTTTTTTTTTAACAAGCACTTTATTATTTTTTTTTAATTAATTAATTTATTTATTATGTATATAATATTCTGTGTGTATGCCTGCAGGCCAGAAGAGGGCACCAGACCCCATTATAGATGGTTGTGAGCCACCATGTGGTTGCTGGGAATTGAACTCAGGACCTTTGGAAGAGCAGGCAATGCTCTTAACCTCTGAGCCATCTCTCCAGCCCCTAGCTCTAACTTCTTATTGGCTAACTCTTACATATTAGTTTAACCTATCTCCATTAATCTCTGTATTGCCATGTGGCAGTGGCTTACTGGAGAGTCTAACTGGCATCCATCAAAGGCAGAGGATCCATGGCTTCTCTGACTCTGCCCTTCTTCCTCCCAGCATTCAGTTCTGTTTTCTCTGCCTACCTAAGTTCTGCCCTATCAACTAGGCCAAGGCAGTTTCTTTATTCATTAACCATGAAAGCAACACACAAACAGAAGGACCTCCTACACCGTTTCCCCTTTTCTGTTTAAACAAAAAGGAAGGCTTTAACTTTAACATAGTAAAATTACATATAACAAACAGCTATCAAACAAGAATTATAGTTACAATACTTATATCTACTTTATCTTTTATCATAACTAAGGAAAACTGTAACTATAGATTCTTTAACTCCATCAAAGACTCCAGAAGGATATAACATTACCTAAGTAAACAGGAAGTGCATTGTAAGCAATTTCCAAAACTCTAGAATTGACAAAGACATCTCGCTGCCTGGACAGTCACCCAAAGTTCTTCTGTACCATTGGGGCATCCATCTTTAGCCTATAGGCCCATAGTATCCAGCAGACTTTTTCATGAAGCAGGGAATTTCAAAGATAGTTTAGTCACTTTTTTCTGTATCCCGCAGAATGTCTCACAGACTCTTTCATGAAACAGAAACCCCGAAGGATCATCTCACCTTTAGGCAAGTTCAGCAGTCATCTCTCTATGGGTACTGCATGTCCAGTGAAGCTGTCCAGGCAAGAGCAGTTTCTTGCCCAATTGGCACCCAACGTGGCCAACTAAATCCACAACACACCCACAACACACATGTTCATGTGTGTACATGTGTAGGCCAGAGGAGGACAACAGATTTCTTCTTTAATATCTCTGCCTCATTTCCTTGAGACAGGGTCTTGCACTGAACTGTCTAGGCTAAGTTGTCAGTGAGCTCCTGAGATCTGCCAGCCTTTATCACCCCCTCCTAATGCTGGGATTGCATACACTTTCAGCCATGCCTGGCTTCTTACATGGGTGCCGGGAGCTCAACCACAGTTCCTTGTCTTTGCACAGCCAGCTTACCAACTAAGCCAACTCCCCCAACACTTACTCTCGAGGTTGAGCTGCATGTCAGTCACCGGTATCAGGACTGGTCTTAGATTCCTATCCTTAGAGAGTTTGCGAAGTGAAGGGAGGCAGAGAGTAAGAGTCCTAAGGCCACATGCCTGTGTGGGTCATGGGGTTCCCCAGAGGGCTCATTTATGTTGCATGTGGGTCACTGAGAACCATCAAAACTTGGCATGACCTCCAAAAATACCTTTTATTTCTTTGGTATCAGTTTCGTCACATTAAAAACCCTGTTCCATTGAGGCTGTCGTTGAGCCAGAACAAAAGAGGGCACTAAAAGGAAGTCCTTGACTCCATGCTAGGTAGTAGGTGATTTTTGAAGTTAGTTCCTCTGGGAGAAATTCATAACAGCTAGAGAAACCCATGTGTGCATCTTTCTCCCGGACTTTCCAGGTCCCCACAGACACACTGTTTTTCCTCTATATCTTCCATGGATTTAGTGGAAGGCTGAGCGATCACCCCTATTTTCCTGCTGGTACTCCGGAGTTGCCATCTCTCTCCAGCCTAGCCACGCCTCTGTGCCATCTTGAACACGTGGCAACTGTCCACAATCCTGCCTGCACCTGCCTGCATCAGGCCCTTTCTGTCCAAGTGACCTGTGCCCTTCTTCCCACCACCCTCACTAGCTTCTTCGCCAGTTCCAGGACACAACGGAGAGCCCCAGTGATGAGTAACGGGCCGCCGTGTGTTATGGCAGGAATACAGTTTGTCCTATCTGAAACTCTGGTTGATGATTGATCATCACTGTCACCATGGCAGTATTAGTGGGGGAGGGGAGGGATAGGGATGGCCTTCAGGAGGTGATTGGTTATTAAAAGGGATTGATATTCTTCTCAGGGAGCTAGAGGCAGTTTCTAGAGAGCCTGCCCCTTGTGTGTTTCCTCTTCCCCAGACTCTGCTGCCTTTCTGGTTTTCTGTATATGAAACCTTCAGTCCACAGACACTGGGGCAGATTCTGGTACCAGGCTCTTAGATCTCCTAGTTTATAGAACATGCGAGCCAAAATAGACTTGCCTTCTTTTTAACTCACCTAGTCTTAGGAGCTGTCATCCTTTGGCATCTATGGAAAACGGGTTTTAACCTCATACCCAAACCCATGCTCGTATGAACTTGAGCAGTGTTCTCATATAACCCCCACAGCTGCATAATCTCAGGTCTGTGCACTGCTTAACATGCTTAGAACAGTACAAGCGCAGAGCTGTCCTGACAGTGTGGTTGTTATACCGTCTCCTGCAGGGAACAACGTCCAACGAAGCCAACGGGAAGGTCTATGCATGTTCAGTTCAGATGCTTGTCCTCGCAAGTATTTCCCATTCATGGTTAGTAGAATCTACAGAACAGAACCTGTGAGTACAGATGCCGACTGTATTCTATTGTAGTGATGTGTAATGTGCTCTGCAACCCAGAGGAGTCAGACACAAGTGTTGGGGGCTGTGAACCCCCAGATCCTGAATTTCTTGTAAGCAGCTCGCTTTCCCCTGATCTGAGACAGCCTGCAGCTGCTCTGAGCACGAGACCCTCAGGAGTTCCTGATGGCAGGAGAATGGTTTCTGGTGCGTTTGGCTGGGGCGTGGCTATCCCTATATAAGCTGCCCCGAACACAATAAAGGGAACATTCTTGGGGCATTCCTGTTTTAAAAATGACCCGTGTCTCTGTCTGTGAGCCGTTGTGTGTCTCAGTCTCCAGCCCCTTGCCTGGTTCATGAACTGTATGGTGGCGCATAGAGCACATATGGGCGTGGTGCGCCACACACAAGCATTTGTTGTATTGGACCATTCACCCTGTGTCCAAGTAAATGTTTTCTCTGTGCTGATCTTGGGTTCGGTCTGCTGTGTCCTTTTGTGTTTGCACAAGATGGAACTTGTTTCAGGCAGATTTTGGGGTGTCTTGCCTGGAAAACTAGAGAAGGCAGTGCCAGCAGGCCTGTGAACCCAGAACCAGGTGCTTGGGAGCTCCAGTAAGCAGGCAACGTATGCTTTCCAATTCTTTCCGTGAACAATTGACTGGCTTATTTCTCTTTCTGCAAACTGGTTCTTGTTAGTTGTCAGAACACAGCGTCAAAAACAGGTAGCCTGCAGATTTTGAGATACAGCTTTCTATTCTAGTTCTGGAAGGACAAAGCATCTTATATCTTAGATTCAGGTTCAAGTCTCAGAAGAGACCATTTGCTTGGCCAGCCTAGGCCAGATAACTATTCCCAGTGCAGCTGGCTATGGCTGGGCAGACAGGTTTTCTGTGAATATGTGATTATTGGTTCCTTGTTGGTAGATGGGAAAAAAAAACATTTTAATGAAGGAAATTTAGGGCTGTCCTGATGCTCCAAAAGTTGTCCTATGTATTATAAGAAAGTCCTGACCTATGTATGGCTCCTCACCCCTGGAGAAATTAAGTGGTGAGTTGGTATTAATACAAATAAATATGAAATGTGTGGGTGGGTTTAGGAAATAATTTTGTAGCCTAACAGAAGTATTATCTTGACTTTAAAGAAACATATGGCTTTGAGTTTTGTATGGCACATGTACTTCAAATGAGAATACAGAGGTTCTTAAAAAGAATAGGGAAGGTCGGCGAGACTACAGCAGGTACATTTAATTTTGAGCCATGGGGGTTAAGATTAGGGGGTTATACTGGCTACTTGCCTTGCTGCTGTGACAAAAGCCACTGAAGCAAGGAAAGGTTTGTTTTGGCTCTGGGTTAGAAGAGCTACAGTCCTCTGAGGTGGGGGTGGTTTGGCAGCAGGAGGAGGGAGTGGAGGTCACCTTGCATCCTCAGGAAGTACACTGTGGTGGGGGCTTGTGTTTAGTTCTCTTGTCTTAGTGTCTGGACCCCATGAAAGACCACTACTCACATTTAGAGTAGACATTCTTTCCTCATGTAACCTAATCTAGATAATTCTTCACAGATATGCGCAGGGATTTATTTCCATGGTGACTCTCAAATGTATTGACAATCAAGACTCCCCATCACACAAAGAATGGACTTTCAATCCGAAAGGAATAAACACAAAATAAGCAAGTTAATTATGATCCACCAATGGCAGGAAATTAAAGTGGAAACTGGCTGTGTTCTGGGGTCGTACGGCTTTGGGTTTGGTTCCTGTGGCTCATGACATCATTGACAGTAACAGGCCTGGTGTGTAATGGACTTTAGTGTACAACGTTCACTTCCACTCTTGATAAATGCTCTCAAGTGCTGCTTCCAGCAAACACTCCGATTTCGGTAAGATTGCCTTCATAGCTGGAGATCAGACTCGTCATCCAAACCAGGCCACCCATATAACACCTGCCCAAGACACTTTGATCTACTGGAAATGGTTGCAGTTCACATACAAATCTATGACACGTATGATGTGAACGGCACTTCTTCGCATGTGATGGTTTGCACACTACCCAGGCCATCCAACCAGGTAGAGTGGTCTACCTGGCCACACAAAAGGAAAGGGAAAGTCTCCCCCGCCCAGGTAAGAGGAGGTAATCATGCCTCACAAAAGGTTTGTCTCAGAGTAAGGAAGAGCCAAGAGGAGGCTGTCCAGTCCATGAAGTACATGCAACCCTTTATCCAGCCATACCTGAAGCAATAGAATTACCTCTGAATTTGTATTAAGTATGTCATCAAAAATTGTTGAGAAAGATAGTTCACCCATGCTAGGTTCCCAAGGACATATGATACCACAATGGATTGCTTTATTAAATTGCTGTGTTAAGATTTAATTGACATACAATTCCCCAATCATATTTAAAGTGTAAAATTTGGTGATTTTGACACCAGCGACACACTCGAGATGATAAACTAATTGCATTTTAATCACAGTTATTATTTTTTTATTTATTGAGGCAGGGTCACATTGTGTAGATCAGGCTTGCCTCGGACTGAGAAAAAGACACCTGCCTCTGTCTCCTGGGTACACATTAAAGGCGCGTGCCAATACACCTAACATTTTTAATCTTTTATTACGGAGCTACTCAAGCAAACACAGTAGCAGATGGGCCCTCTACACCACATCCACATCCAGCCATTTTTTTTCTTTCATTCACCACTTTCCTACATTTTAATTTGGCTGGAATATTTTAAATTCCACATATGACATTGTTTTACATGTAAATACGTCAGCCTTTATCTTTAATAGATTAAGACTTATTTTTTTGCAATGTAGCCACAGTAGCATTATCAGCTCCAAAACCATAATAATATATCATCCTTTAAAAAAATCATCTTTAAAATATTATCTTTTAAAAAAGGGCAGTCTCTGGAACTGGCTACAAAAGTGTTTTCCATTTCTTTTATCAAATCAAGTTTCAAGCCAAGTCTGAGGAATGCATCTGATTGGTAAGTCCCTTAAGAGTCTTGATTAAATGTGAAATGATATCTCAGATATACTAGCCAAATAAAATATACTTTAAAATTAATTTTTGCTTTTATGATGTGGACACTGATAAATTCAAAAATCACACATGTGACTTGCATTATAGTTCCTTCCTCTGTGCTGTGTTCACTAGGCTCTTGGCTCTTCTGGGGTGACGTGGACTTCTTGCATCATATCTGGAGGTGTATAGTACCCTGTTGCACCCTGATCATAATGCTAAGATTGCTCACTGGTTAGGATGAGAAAGGCAGAGCCTTCTTGGGACTGGCCTGGCACTCCTGCCGAAATATTGATGTTTCTCCATTGAGTAGCTCTGTCTTCAAAGAGCATCCACTGTCATGTAAGGTCACCCTGTATGTATGATGGAGCAAGACGCAAGCAAAATAATGGTGAGCACGCACTGAAACCGTTGTTCCGACTGTAAATCCTATCTGGCTCCAGTAAGTGGTTGTTGCTTCTCTATGAGCTACAGCCTTAATTCCACTTCCTCCCTTCTGCCTTTCAGATGGGAGTTAAAAATCCCAGGGTGGTGCACACCTGTGATCCCAGCATTTGCGAGGCAGAGGCAGATCTCTATGAGTTCAAGGCCAGCCTGGTCTACATATAGCAAGTTCCAGCACAGCTAGGGTTATATAGAAAGACTGTTTCAAACAAAACAAAAACATAACTAACTAAATAGATAAAATTCCTGATGATATAAATCCTTCATTTCCCGATGGGATCACTTAAGCACAGCCCCCTTCCTTGAACTCCAGCCCAAGCCTTAGAGTCCTTTCCAATACCAGAGACTCCACAGTTCCTCTGTTGAATGTTGTTCCTCTCCCAGGACAACACAACAGAAACACCTCTCCTATTCCAGGAGTCTTTTTGGAGGCGCTGCAGTGGCTCCGATTGATCGTGGAAGTCTCATCTCCCACTATAATACCTATGAAGTAGACTTTTAAGTAGGAATTCAACCCAGTGTAGTTAAGTAGAGGGAGAATTCCATAGTCAGTAGCCATTTATCACCCTTATGAAACTGTATATATATATGTAGTCCAAACAGGTACTGAAATCTCTTTACAACAGACCTAAGCCCATTAGTTTATTGTATCAGTTTTTGAAGTGTGCTCTGAAGAAAAAAAGTATCCTATGGACTGGGAGGTTTAAGCAGTCGCCTCCTAGTGTCCTATAGTTACGTGCTAGAAGTTCAAGTTATAAGACACGCATGTTGCTGAGGGCTGTGAAGCACCCCCTACCCAGCTTCTGGCAGTTAGCATGGAGTCTGCTTCTGGACTTGCAATAATTATTTTATACCCTTCACTCCTTATGTATCTGCTTTCTCTAAGTTTCCCCTTTTATAAGAACACCAGCCATATCGTCTTGAAGTCCTCTCCAAAGGCCACAGCAGAGCTGGGTTACCTCTGTAAAGCCATCAGCAAATGCCTTTCTGGGGGACGTAATTCAACCCCTAATTCATCACTATTAGCATCTTCGGAGTTGGTGTCGCTGGCCACCACTCTCAGAGACAGCTAGTGGTGACACTTCCTAACAATCTTTCTATAATATTATAGAATATAAAGAAATATAATCTTTTCTATTTTATATGTAAAGCGAGTCTTCAGTTGTAACAAGCTTTCTCTAATGTAGTCAGACTTTTCTTTTGTGGGATCACCACCTCCCCTATAACAACATGGAGACCATATTAATGATGAAGTCTTGGCCTTAGCTTACTTTGTTTTCTAACTAGCTCTTATAACTTATATTAAGCTGTCTCTATTAATCTACATTTTGTCATGTGGCTCTGGTACCTCTGTTCTGTACCATATGTCCAGCTTCTTCAGCGTCTCTGGCAAAATCTGTGTGCCTAGATTCCTCCTCCTTTCTCTCTCTCCTCGGAAATCCTGCCTATCCTCTCCTGCCTAGCTATTGGCCATTCAGCTCTTTATTAAGCCAATCAGAATGTGCCTGAGGCAGAGATACAACTTTACAGTGTACACAAA